CAACTCCCAGCAGCACTCAGTTCAGCTTGAAGAGGAGCTGGAGCAGGCTTCATGAGGAGACTGGTTTCCCTGCTTTTCCCGTGCGCAGGTATGCACAGAAAAAGCAAGGTAGGAAGCGTGATTGTAGCTTGCCCAAGAAAGCTTACACTTTGTCTGAATATATGTGGGTCTTTAAAAGTGCTGCTGGCATTGGGGCCCTTCTCCTCCAACTCTCCATCTCCCGGGGCCAGCTCTGAGCCTCTTTTTCTGTTTTGTAAGACTGTGTTGGATGTTAAGGAGACACAAATATGAATCTGTGATGCTGCCTTGTGATCTGCAATACAGGAGAAGGTGGCATGAATCCTTTTTCTGAAGTGGCTGAACAGCACTGGAGAGATTCTGGGAGCGAGGCCCCATGCATTTACTTCAGAGTAGCCCCATTGGGTTGCATAGGGGCTTCATGCCTTGCTGAAGCTCCCTCCTGGAGAGGACGGGAAACATTTTTCCTTCCTCTCCAGCTCTGCAAGGGTTAAACTCCCAGAGTTTGCTTGCTAGGAAGACCAAGCAAGGAGTTGGGGGGAGGGGTCAAAAAAACAACAACATACAAACCTGAGTTACCCACACTTTCCAAGGAGATGCAAGGCCATTGTTCACATTAGTGTTCGTCAGTCATTGTCATGATTTAATTTTATGGATACTTTGGACATATAGAGCGGATGAACAAAAGGAGACGAAACAATTATACAAGACGAGTGTGGATGGGAGAGTTGGAAGGGGTCGACCTCAGCGAACGTACCTCAATCAGATTGAGGACATTTTTAGCAAAGGCCAGTTTAAGAGTACCCTAATTAAGTTAATAACAATGTAACTACCTATATAGTTTAAGTTTACAAAATTTGGCTCTCAAAATAAATTTCAATTGTCCTACAGTTGATATTTGGCTCTCTTGACTAATAAGTTTGCCCACCACTGTCCTAGTGTGCGGTACGGTTGCGAGGGTTTTAACCCAAGATAGCTTCCATTCTTTGCTGTCTTACACTGAGAAAATATTTATTTGGGTTTTGTTTTTTAAATACATGTTTCTAGTGCGAAGAAGATGGACAGATGTCTTACACTGTGAAGGGTTTCTAAAATATTTATTTGGGTTTTGTTTTTTTAAATACGTTTTCCTAGTGCGAAGAAGATGGACAGATGTTTTTCAGCCTGGACGACGGGAACACCAAATTCACCGACCTAATACAGCTCGTTGAGTTCTACCAACTCAACAGGGGGGTCCTGCCCTGTAAGCTCAAACACCACTGCATCCGCGTAGCCTTATGACCCCCGTTCCTCTCTCACACCGGTTTTGCTCAGAAAAGACTGGACTTGGTAGAGAAATCTTGTCAAAGGAAGTTGACACTGGGAAATCGGCAGCCTCGTAGGCTGGCTTGAAAAGAATGCAAACGTTATGCACCTTGGGGACTTGGAACAGGGATGGATCGAATGGATGCCAGCAGACCAGTCTTAGCTGGTTTGTATAACACCTGAGAGCAATCGCTGGGTGTCCCAGTAACCCCCGCCCACCCCCCGAAATTGGGAAAGGGTATGTAAAATCACTAAAAAAAAAAAAAATTGAAACATAACTGGAAACTGTCCCTTGGCTGGTGCACTTAACAGAATCAAGTTTGTGAAGCAAAACTATTGAAAAGAACTCTTGCCCTGGAATAATCTTGACAATTAAGACTTGGTGTGTTTACTTTTTTGTATTGATCACTTCTCTTGTGGGTTTGTTTTCTTTGCACTCCTTTTTTTTTGTGTTTTTGGATATTGCCTACAACCCTATCTTAGGAGCTTGTTTTGCATAGGGTTCTAATCTAAACCCTCTTAAGGCATGAGGTGCTTCATCCTAACAGAGGTCTAGAGGACAGAAATCTTTCTCACTTCTGCAGTGACCAGAGACTTGGTCATGTATTGATGACCTTGAGGAATCCCTACGGACACAGCTCTGAAAAAGATTGCCACGTGTACTCGTTTGAGTATCAGCAGTTCAAAAGGATGGCGCTATGCACATGTCGTATATTAGGGATACCCAGTCGTGCAAAAGGCTCTTGATTTCTATGCACAAATATTCTTGGCCTGGCCTGTTAGTCTCCCCCCACCCTTACCCCTCTTGGGAAAATCCACTTTCAATAGCTATAACACAGCTGAGTGACTGTGCGTGGTGTTGGGGAAGAAGCACTTCGTTTGTTGGTTTACCTAGTATGACATGGATTCAGTGTTTCTTTTGAGCATTATGTTTCCTTGGATTCTCAGAGCACCTGTGTAGGCCTGACAATGTCATTGTACCAAACCACGATTTACAAATAAGCTTCTAACCGTGGTTGCAGATGGTGTTTTGGTGCTACCTATGGTCAGTTAGGGTGGCAGTATGGATGTAAAAGTCTCCTAGCTGTGGATGCTATTTTTGTCTGCTCATCACAGAATTATCTTTCCAGCCGGTATTGGTAATGTAACCATTGCATCCAGTCAAATCAATTTAGGAAACAGCATCGCCCCTTCATTTGTCCTGTAGGATCTCCAAAATTTATGCTGGGTTGGATCCAGCTGACGTTTTTCACCCAACCTCACCTAATTTCCCTCCTGACCAATGCCTCCATCCTACATAGGTTTTTGTCCAGGTGGGTCCCATGATTTCCCAACATTCTGCAACAGTGGAACAGCTGGGTGGATCCAGCCAGCGTGTATCGAACCATGGGCATGATCCGTCAGGCGCAGCTGAACAGCCTCCCCTCATTCCATTCCACCTTCAGAGACTCCTACACAAGTGTCACTAGGAAGGTCAGAGGACGGTGCGCTCGCCTGATGTTTTCTGACCTTTTATTCAGAAACCAGCTGCGAAACCTCTGCTTGCAGTTGCCGAATTTTTCATTTGACAGTTTGGATCACGAATGCTTAAGGATATAGGCACCAATTTTTATGTTGGTGATGACCCGGGACTAGTTTGCTGCAGATACTGGCATAATACATGTACATGCACCAGTCTCTGTAGCAAATGAGCCCTGGATCATCACCCACAGAAGGTCTTGTTCAGGCACTCTAGAAAACCTTCCATGCTGACCATTCTCATGGGCGTGACCGCACAGAGGGAAATAACACTTTGCCCAGCTTTGACCATGTTGACAGGCAAGAGTTCCCTGGCCCTGGAGTGGATCCAGACTAACATTTGCACCAGCAGAACAGGTCTTTCCTGTCTGTTCCTTCTTACTACAGCCCACTGTTCTCCACAAAATGCTGCTGGGAATGGGGGGACGACGACTCTGCGGAGTAGCAGGAGAGACAGGGCTATTTTGGGGCAGGAACGCACAGGAACGGAGTTCGTGCTGGCTCCCAAGTTGGCCACGCCCAGCAGGAGCTCATTAGCATAACAGGCCACACCCAACAGCAGAAACTCATTAGAATTGGCTACATTTGGGGTGTGTGGCCTAACATGCAAAGGAGTTCCTGCTACAATAAAGCCCTGGGTTTTGACAACAAACAAGGTAAACAGAAGAACAAGCAAAAGGTGGGTGTGGCTGGATAACCACACTTCTGGCAACATGGGGGTGCGGCCTAATGTGCTAATGAGCTGTGCTGTCAGGGGTGTGGCCCAATAGGCTAATGAGTTCCTGCTGTTGGGTGTGGCCTATTATGCTAATGAGTTCCTGCTGGGCTTTTTCTACAAAAAGAGCCCTGAAGAGAGTTCTGCAGTGGTAAGCGGGAATCTGCAGCAGTTGTTTAGGATGGAGCCATCCCTGTAAATCTGATTAAATGTGATAAGTGTCGGCATTATTATGCTGGGTTAGGTATCACTTAATCCGTGTCTGGGGGGGATGCTCCATGTTGAAGGTTTAGAATAGGGGGTCGCCAGCGTGATGCTCGTGAGCACCCTGGTGCCCCACTGACACCTTTCCTGGTGCCCACCAAGTGTTTCTAGAACATGGGAGGGGCCAAGTGGGGCTTTCGCCCAGCAAGGCTTCGGATTGGTCACTGAAGATCGGACTGGCTGTGCACATTTTAAAAGTATTGCTTTGGCAGCAACTGTCACCTCAGGACAAGGGCGTCTGACTGAAGGTAAGCTGCGGCGGCCATTTTGTGGCTATGCCCCCCCCACACACACTGTGTCATGGGTCCCAGAGATGCACCACAGGCTGAAAAAGGTTGGGAACCCACCAGTTTAGGACAGCCGAACCAAGTCAGTCTCATTTTAATTATTTAAGTGATTCCCTGTTTACAAGTGATCCTGTTTTTCCTACTGGCGACGAATTAGCATGAGAAGCAAGGTCCGCGCTCGTTTGTTCTCCCGTTGGACTGCCACACGGCATCCTGTCAGGCCTTGGAGACGATGTTCAAAGACACAGACAGGTGTTTTGTGTACATTTGCACAGGGCTATTTTTGGGCAGGAACGCACATGAACGGAGTTCCTGCTGGCTCCCGAGTTGGCCACGCCCAGCAGGAACTCATTAGCATAATAGGCTACACCCAACAGCAGGAACTCATTAGGATTGGCTACATTAGGGTGTGTGGCCTAACATGCAAAGGAGTTCCTGCTACAAAAAAAGCCCAGGGTTTTGACAACAAGGTAAACAGAATAAGAAGCAAAAGGGGTGTGTGGCTGGATGGCCACACTTCTGGTAACATGGGGGTGTGGGCTAATATGCTAATGTGCTGTGCTGTCATGGGTGTGGTCTAATATGCTAATGAGTGTCTGCTGTTGGGTGTGGCCTATTATGTTAATGAGTTCCTGCTGAGCTTTTTCTACAAAACCCCCCCTGCATTTGCATAGTTTATTAAGCAAAAAATTATGTTAGGCACGGAATGTTTGGCGTTAACTGCTCCGAGTCGAGTGTCAGCCCCCCCCCGCTTTCTTCCTTTCTAGACAGCTTTATTGAATCACTTTAAAAAACGTATATGGTTCTGATTTCCATCTAACTACATAGCCCATCTGAATGGTCAAAAGTTGTTGAAACAGCTCTTTATTCATACGGTATTCACATAACGTTGAGAGTAGTTTTAAGAGAATATAACCAGCTTGAATCATACATATCAGCTGAATTATATAAACACTGTATTTTAGTTTACAGGAGACATTCTAGTAGCCTTTCCTCCCCCACCCCCCAAATTGACTACATTATACAATGAAGAAACTTGATTTCGTTTTTAATATAGAACCTTCCTGGTTTTTAAATGTAGTGTTCTTTTTTTAATGTTTTTAAAGACATCAAATTAAGCTAACTCGTGTCTCTGACTTCATTCTGCATGTTTCTGTTTTAACCCCGTCTAGATCTTTTTTTTTTTTTTAATTGACTTAATTTAACCTTCGCATTCTCCGGTGTCAATAACCTTTTAGGACTCTGAAAAACACACACACTTAAGTTCTTGTGTTTACATAGTTTAGTCTGAACAAGGCATTTTCCCGGCCAAGATGGGGGGGGACCCCATTTTGCATTGTTTCGTATTTATAAAATTTTGCATTTTTATTTAAATTGAGAACAAAATTTTCTGACTATAGGAAACAGGATTTTGTATGTAAGCGGCTGTCTGTTTTGTACACTCCCAACTCTTTTTGAGAAAACAAACCACAATACTTGAGCACACCGTTTTTCCTTTTCTGCTGGAAATGAAATAAAAACTTAATTCCCACCTTAAATATTTCCAGCAGACTCAGCTGGCTGGCAGCTTAGAAACCAAGGACTGAAGGACATTTGACTTTCTAATTTTTTTTGTGTGTGTATTTAAATGACATGAATGTAAAGAGGGATTCTCAGGGTTGTTTCAGGAGCCTGATTGAATTTGTTTCTCTTGTTTTCCTTGGCCTATGACTTTTATTTTCTAAATAAAATACTTCATGTAACAATCTTGGAAATATGTTGAAGAAGGAAAAATGCCAAACTATTTTGGTAAAAAAAAAAAAGAAAGAAAGAAAAAAGTACACGGTAGGTGTTTTTAAACAGTACAATGTTTTTAAATGTGTTGAATTATTCTTGAAGAAATATGTGCCTCGGTTTTTAGATGTTTTTGTCTTATCTTTTTCTGCACTAAGTTCCTGACCATTTTGACCAATCAATGCACCTTTCCAGTGGCAAGATCATGCTTCTCGTAAATTATAGTGTCACAATGCAAAACTTTTTTAGTGACTGTAAAATGGAATAAAAGTTAAAAGTTTTCAGGGAATGCAAAAGGTATTAACTTAAAGAGACAAAACCTTTTATTCAATATGTGTTGCTTCATTCTGTAAATAGCTTTTTTTTTTTTTTTTGCTAGTGAACCTAATTGTAATCTTTCAGGTATTTTTGTACAAATGAGGGACTGATTGTTTCTTGTAACTAGAAATAAACATTAATACAATTGTATTCATTTTATATTGCTGGTAATGTACTTTTTCACATGAAGCAGCCTTATACTGAATCAGACCCTTGGTCCATCAAAGTCAGTATTGTCTACTTAGACTGGTGGAAGCTCTCCAGGGTCTCAGGCGGAGGTCTTTCACATCATCTACTGCCTGGTCCTTTAACTGGAGATGCCGGGGATTGAACCTGGAATCTTCTGCATGCCAAGCAGATGCTCTACCACTGAGACATGGCCCCTCCCTTCCCCTTTTTGCTGTTAGGTGGGTGGGTAGATCCATCAAGCTAATGAGAACTACTGTTTCGGGAAGCCTTAAAAGGAAATCTACTTAATACTGCATGGTTTAGTATCTACCTAGTTCTGTTGGCCCAAACTAGATGATACCTGTCCTATTTTGAAGATGAACCTCGTCCAAGTGGCTTGTCTCTGAAAAGCCTGCAGTTGTCCCGTCTGATTCAGAAGAAGGAAATGCTTGTTACCTTTATAGCATTGATAAAATGGCCCTTGGCAAGAGATGACCAGTGCGTCTAGGTCAGCTGGGATAACCCTCCCTTTCTCTGCCTCCCAGTCTCTAAGATCCACCCAGTATAGCACTCAGCCTCTGACTAACTGGGGTCCTTGTTAGGGTTGCCAAGTCCATCTTCCACCCCCAGTGGGGGACTTTGGGGGCGCTCCTTGAGGGGGCGGGGCATCCCCAACGTGATGACGTCATGTTGGGGACGTCCACCGCCCCCACCCGCCCGTGCACCGGATCTCCAGAAACGGCAGTTCCCTGCCCTTAAAGGAGCCGGCGTTTCCCTTTTAAATGCAGGAGCCGGCGTTTCCCCTTTAAGAGCAGCTGCGTTTCCCTTTTAAGAGCACAAAGCTGGCATTTCCCTGCAAGCTTGCGGAGATTGGGCTTGGGAGGAAACACGGGTTCCACACACTTAAAGGGAGAGAGAGGGGTGGCTGTGGGTGTTGGGGGCGGGTAGAACCCCCCCAAAAAACGGGGGACCCCTGGCAAACCGTGAGGTTTGGCAACCCTAGTCCTTGTATATCGTAATGACTCAATAGCCATGACCCGGATAGAGCTAGCCCGGTCTCATCAGATCTTGGGAACTAAGCAGGGTCAGCCCTGGTTGGTACTTGGATTGGAGGCCTCCGAGGAATCCCCAGGTCGCGACACAGAAGCAGGCAATGGCAAGCCATCTCTGAATGCCTTTTGCCTTGGAGAACCCACATGCTTGCCATAAGCCAGCTGTGACTTGACGGCCCCCCCCAAAAAAGGAGTGAACTTCCTGTTGACGTGATCCAGTGCGGATCCATCTTACTTGCGCGCTGACATAGATTGGTTCTCTGATGTCAAAGAACGCCATCTCTGCTTCGAAATGCAGCATGGGAAAGTAAAAGCACAAGATGAACGGCATGGGTAAATAGTTCGGGTTGGATCCTGTAGGAGATTCGCAGGAGGAGTACTGCTGGCTTCCTCTCCAACTGTAGCCACCCTGTGTTTCTTGGGAAGCTGCTTCGAGGGACTTCCCTTCAGCAACAGTGTAGGATGTAATGGGTGGGCCCTGTACATTGAAGTGGGAAATCCGGGCAAGAGTTGGTGGGGTGTGTCTGTAAACCCCATTTGTGTTTGCAGGATCCATTGTTGCAGCAAACTCCTCCATGCCTTTCAGTAAGCGCCCTTGCTGAATGAAAGTGTGAATAGGTGGCCTCGGAAATGACATAAGAAAAATAGGACACATCTTAAGCTTTCGGGGACCTGAGCAGGCCAATGTCTCCTTCCTTGCCTTAGGCCCCATGCTCAAGGAGGGTCCAACCACCCATGCCCCCGACAGAGGGCAGCAAAGGTGGGGGGAAAGCACAGGCTCCCCCACTGCGCCCTGCACCTACCCTGGCCAGGTACCAGGCAGCCAGCTTCCACCTCATACAGGTGAGGCCTGCCCTCTGCTTGGCCCGAGCAGGAGGGGCCCTGGTGAGGGAGTGGCAGTGATTCTGGGGGCCCATTCTGGACTTTTGCCAAGGGT